CGTAGTTATATTGTATGCTTATAGAATTGAACCAAGAAAAAAATGAGTTAACCAAAGACACTGTCGTAAGAATGATTTATTTTACACTGAATGTATACTTATGTTTCAATCTAAATATCTGTCTTTAATGAGCACATTATGGGTGTGAATATTATGCGACACAAATACAGCCTACAGGCACTGAGCAGATCTTGTTAGCGATGAGGCTAGTGAAGCCCCGCGGAGCAATGCCCTGACATAACCCGGGACGTTGTTTTGGTTAAAATCAAATCATCATGTACTGTACTTTAGATTATCTACTCTACAAAATTTACTGCACTTCTTAACACATACAATAGTTATTTGTGTAACTAGTGGGCGAAATGGCACTTTGTGTGGAAAGTGTCTCAACAGCAGCAAAAGCAGTTTGCACTCGCTAACACAGCGTTACATTTTAGCGTGTTACATTTTTCCTGCAGTTACTATAAATCATATAAATAATTAGTCTTTCACTGTACAACACGTTTTTTGGTTAGGTTAAATCCAACCATTGAACGAAATGGGAAACGCTGACCAGCTGATCGTAGTCGTAATATCTTTAGTGTTGCCAACTTATTTTAAAGCGTACGCGGATTACGTGCATAATAAAAGCACGCTGTTTTGAGTTGTTTGGTTGGAATACGGATTCAGTTTACACTGGACTTAATAACCATGGATTAAAAGAAGTTAGAAGGTCTACATGAAGAGAATTACAAATTTTTCTACTCTTTAAAGAAGTATATGTTTATAGTAGTTAGGCAACTATACACGTTTATTTTGAAATAACAAAATGATTTCACACAACTATGCAACTATATAGATATTTAACTATAAAGCCCAATGCCTACGATGGGAAGATAACGTTTCATCTACAACATTGTTGTTTCGTTATTTACTAATTCGCAAACAGTTGTATCATTAACAAACTTTACTGAAAAAGTTAATCGACATTATTCTTATATATAAAAAAAAAAAAAACACACAATGTTTTAAAAATACAGAAACTGAACAAACGTCTATTCCATTTTACTATAAACTGCATTAACAGTTAGCAACGACCTATCCAAATATCAACTAACTAACCAAATCGAAGTGCTGGAGCATTTCCATTAATAGAACAGTCACAGCCTTTCCTGACCATATACAATGAAATTGAACTCTTATGTAACTCAAAACATTGCAAAGAATTATCTACTTTACATCACCCAATGTGGGTCGCTGATTTAGCACAACAAAAAGCAGCGATAACCGACAAAAACAGCTGATTTGACAGATCAGCTGATGGTGGTCAAGTCGCATTGTTGTATACAGTCCATGAGTCCACGTTACGGTAGTGGCACACTTCCAGAAGCAACAAATAACTACGAGCATTAAATATTTTATTACCAGTATTGTTTACAAATGCACCTTTGTTTGTTTTGGTATGGACTGGAAAAGATTATGATACGGTCGATTTGGCCAGCTTGCAATGACTATTCTTATTATGCAGTCAAAGGAATGATAGGTATACATTGGTCAGTAATATAATGATAACACATACCAATTACATGTCAACATGAGGCAAAATACATGATAATACATGATACATGATACAAAATACATTATGGTAATACATGATGTAAAATAAATATATCACGTCAATAAATTAACGTAAAATTTATACTAGGCCAGTACTAACTGTCTATTTCATTTTTGTAATCACTCTGTATAACTAACACTATTTGATACAAGAAAATTGCTGTTTAACTCTGTGTATCAGTGGCGGTTCTAGGACCTTGTCAAGGGGGGGGCTACCGGGGGGCTTGGGGGGTGTGGAGCACTCCCCAATAAAGTAGGGGGGTCCGGGGGAAAATTTTGAATTTTCAAAGCCGTTTGGTGATTTTCTAAAGCCATTTTTAACACCTAAAACCTTGCCTAATTGTCCATAAACTCCGCATTTCACCTGTTGTTTGTCATGAGCAAATAGACATTTTAAAAATTAAACTATGGCGATTGCATTAATGAATTTCAAAACACTGTAGACTACGGCCATATCCTCCTAAAAAAGCCGTTGGGTGACTTTCTACAGCCATTTTTAACGTCTAGAACTGTGTGCAAAACCTCCCATTTCCCCATTTTTATATTTCATGAATAAGTAGACATTTTTAAAACTAAGTATGACGATTGCATTCATAAAATCTCAAAACATATTGTAGGCTACGGCAATATCGTCCTAAAAGCTGTTTACTGACTTTCTAAAGCCATTATTAATGTCTATATTTGTGTCCAACTGTCCAAAAACCTGCCATTTCACCTGTTTTTTGTCTTTGTCATGAGCAAGTAAGTAGACATTTTAAAAATCAAACTATGACGAACTTGCATTCATGAATTTCAAAACATAGGCCTACTGTAGACTACGAAGCCATATCAACTAAAAATAAGCCGTTTGCTCACTTTTATATGGCCATTTCTAACGGCTAGAACTGTGCTCAATAATTATCCTAAAACCTTCCATTTCACCTTTTATATGCTGTTTATATGTCATGCAAGCAAGTAGATACGATTTTTACACTTATGTTTTTCTACAGTCCATTTCATAGATCTGTCACAATATGTAGGCTACAGTATCGAATTCAGTAGCCTACAGGTAATAGCATTGACTATTCAAAACTTTAACATTAGTGTTTATATAGTAAATGGTAAAAAGGCTACTGGTGCTACCGCTGATTGCTGATTGATGCCTGTGGGCTGTGTAAAGTTAGTGGCTAGCAGACAATTTGACAACTATGGAACATCAGGAAATCAGCTGTTTCCCCGTCTTTGCTCGCGCGCTCGGCGCTCGCCTTTGCCCTAGCATGTCAACAGCTGACTGCTGTAAAAATTGGATGATGCGTATAACTAACTTTCCATTGCGTAATATTGTTTTATTTGCGGTGCTATTGTCCACAAAGTTTATCTATGTGGAACTTAATACTACTCCTGCCATCGCTTATTAAGTCTACATTGATAAAATCTACATTGATGTCTGTTTTATGACATTGCTTGTTTTAAGGGCGAAATGTACGTTTAAATGTATTTTTCCAGGGTCCAAGGGGGGGGGGCTTTAGCCCCTGTAGCCCCCCCCCTTGGAACCGCCACTGCTGTGTATCCAACATTAATACGATCTTATCTAAGTATTGGACATGGGTTTTGGGGTCTTAGATATTTTCTCCTGCCTAATAAAACAGAAATTACGTTTCCATCAAACTTACACTTCGTAGGCCAATTTTTGAAGCTTATAATTTATAAATCTAACTTTATTATTCACATAATAATTTTCAAACTGGGTTTGATCTATTTTGATGTTTCTCTGAGTTGGATGCTTTATTTATTTTATCCACTACAAAGGTGGGGTTTTGTATATTGTATGATGTAGATTAAATTCAACACAATTGCAGTCATAGGTTGTTAATTTAGAATAACCATTTGAGAGTGATTTTTTGAGTTGGCATCAATTTTAGCTGTTGTATTGTTAAGAACAAAAGTAAGTTTACCCTAAGGTAATTTTAAACGCATCAACATATCTTCAAAGGATTGAACAATTTGAAACTAGTTGATAAGTCATGTGTATTTATCGTTATAAAAAACCGCAGAATACAGAGAACTGGAGCACCACAAGGCTAATGGTTTAGAGCGGGATACTTTAGTGTGAAGGGTTCGAATCTCACCAAACACCAATGTCAACAGCTATGGGTAATAATATGACTCGGTGGTTCAGATCCCACAGTAGCTACAAAACACATATGAATAAAATAGATTTGTAACTCCAAAGCAACAAGAACATTCTCAGAATTTGAGGTTTCCAAAAAAAAAACCATCAAAGAATTCTTGTACCTCAGAAAAAGTCTTGCAGTTCATCGGTGTTTTTGCAACTCCTCACAAAATGAGTAGCCTATATCAGATTTATTTGAGCACTTTCGGCATTCCTCACTTTGTTGATTTATTAACAGTTATTGCAATTCAGTTTCAAAATGTACATAAATGTTATATAGAATCAATTTTATCCTTATTACTCTTTTTCAAACCCTGTTGTGATGACACATAAAAATGAAATTGCATTGATTGACAAATTGACACATTGATGAAATGAAAAAATGAGTTTGTTTTTGCCTATGTAAATAAATGATTTTTCATTTCATTAAAAAAATGAACAACCACTTAAACCCTGTAAAACATATTTTATTTTTTTATTTACAGGGTTGTCTTTAATCATTTTCTTTAATTTTCTCACGATCTTTATACTGTACTCTTTGTATTGAATTAATATTAAAACTTTCGTTGTATTCTGAAGAGAAATGTTATTTTATAAAGTAGCCTAAGTCCAAACACAACGCTACGTATAGTACACTTGGATTGATCAAGTCACTGGCAAATTCTGACCTTTTTATGCCGGTCTTTCGTTATAACTTAAGAAAAAGGTCTTACAAATCTCAGTTTAACCACCTGGTCAAAAAACTATTCCCATTTATCAAATTTGCCTTCAGTTAAGTTACGTTTAATATTATTTCCTTTATCATTATTTTTAGCGAATTTTCCATATAGTAGGCCTAATAGGGAATAAGCAATTTTACATTTCCTAATAAGAATTTTAAATTAATTAAATTATTGTATTCAACTTCTTAACACACATTATATTAGTATGTCCAAATTAACTACTCTGATCTAAATAATAAAAACATGTTATAGGCTACAGGTTCGTTTGTTTATTCTATTCCTGTGAAGTGTCACAATTTTACATTAACACTAATATGATTAGTTTGTATGAAAAATGTATGTATATTTATTTGTTTAATGGAGTTTTTAACATAATTTCGTTCTAGTGGTAGAGAGCACTCTTGAGTTATAACTTTGCCACTACAATTTCAATAATAATTTGAAATTGACTGCTGCGACTACTAGCACAGCAAAAGTTAATAACTAAACAATTTGCTACTGTGAGAAAATTAAAAACCGTTAATACTGACCTAGGTGGCCCATAAGCCCTTCCAGGTCTTCATCTTGTCCCATGACGTCAGCTGCACTCCACAGTCACTCGCGGCACACTGACTACTGAGACACTCACACTAGTGACTGACTACACACACTGATGTAACCAAGGTCGGCACACTACACACATACACACGCCTCACGCCTACCACACCACGTGGTCGCGATATACTGTTGTAGGCATACTAGGTTAGAGACTATCTTACAGCTTTGCTTTGTATTGAACTAGAGACATTCCATTTACAAGTGCAAGTTGTAGTTAACCAAGCCAAACTCAAAGGAGGACATACACTTCCTATAATTAATTATAATCAATAATCAATAATCAATCGTTGAGATGGGGACGCCACCTAGGTGCGTATTTTAACCCAAATATGAGTGAAGGATGAGTGTAGAATGGTGTGTGATGGCCTGTGTAGCTTTGTTACTGACTAAGATCAGCGGTTTCATTAGCCAGGATCATTTATTTAAAGCCCAATGATCAGGAACAGCTGGGTCCAGTTTCGAACCATCAAAAAGCTACTGGCTTTTCTCAGGATCGAACCGGTGACCTTTTGATTACATTGCTTACGTGCATAAGAGATATTTACTATTTAGTAAATATCTCTTATGGCACATCAGTAATCAATTATAACAGTAACACAAACTAAAGGGTAAAATATATGTAGACTGTAGCACTTTCTATGAGTGGTTCATTCGGATATGTTCTTATAACAAAACTGGCTTCAGCTGGTCTATGTGGAAGGAATGTCCACATAAATATCCTTACAATGGCTACAGTCTACGAAAAAAATAAATGTGTCGTTCCTATAACTATCAAGCTGTTATCACTTATGTTAATTCAAGTATTTACTTGTGGTAGATATTTGATGATTTATTGGATCAAGAGGCAGGGACCATTACAAGCTTTTATATACATTTTGGAAAATATTAAAATTGGACGTAAACGTTCTAAAAAAATTCATTGTGACATTGAAAACTTCAAAATCAATCCTAAGAAACCATTTATGTAACTGATTCAAGATCAACATTTTTGTCTAGTTTTCATTGCTTATTCTTTCGGTATAGTCTATATATTGTATGTTATCCTTTGGGTCCAGCAGTTGCTTGATGGAGCAAGAAGGTTGTAATTTATTTAATAAATTAACTTTATTACTAGGTGTCAAAAAATAGTGATTTGTGTTAAACCTAAAAAATAAATCACCACTTTACACAGCAGTTTATTAGACGAATTTGGTTTTTCTGCGTTTTGCTTATTCCTAAGCTTTAACCTTCTGTTTCCCATGTGATGTTTGTTATTTTGTGCAAAATAAGTTGGATAAAACTGTCGAAAGTGCGTATGAGTGATTTTGAATTTATATAGCCAAAAGCTTTAAATTTATATGTATCAAACACTGTAATTGAATGAGACGTTGGACTGGTTTTGTGTCAATCAATATAGTAAAAATTGTGTTTGAGAGTGAATAGATTAGAATTAAAATGTGTGACAAATGAACAATTTAAATAAGTAAATCATATACCTCGTTTAATTAGTCAATGTATACAGGCTACTTTTTTGGTGTAATATGGTGTTTTAACTATAACAAATTTAAAGATAGACAGATTGATACAAAATATGTTAAATGTCCACAAACAAGTACACCTGTCATGTGATACATATTTTTTGTATAAATCTAAAAGTTAAAACGTTACAAAATGAAAATATTTAACCCGAAAATATCATTTCGCCCATCGTAAATCAAAACATATCTATTACCGATATTACGGAGAAATATGTATCCAAAAATGATGACAGTGTTGCACCATGTATTTCATTAACACCACGTTTAGTCCGCGTGACATATAACAACTGGTAAATAATTTGACCATTTTATACTCGGGTGAAAACCACGAAACTAACACATGCTCTGGGAAGCAATTCGGAACTGAAACTTCTTTGTACAACATTTTATCTGTTATCGAGGTCTGCGGTGATATGTTATCGTAATGGATATTCACATAGTTTGTTGCTTAGTTATGTGTGGCATAACTGTTTTAATCAATTCCAAAATTGTGGATTTTTCAAGTTCACAAGTTTTTATATTGCGTGCCGAAACGTGTTTATCGTTTGTATAATCTTGGAATATTTATTTCCCAATCGATCACGCACAACCTATTTTCATTCCCTATGTCTCTTATATCGTTTTAGATAAAGGCCTACGACCTCATTCTCATTTTCGGCCTTGATCAATAACTTTCTGATAGCGTAATAGGAGATAACGATTTTTTAGGCTACAATTACAACTTTTGAACTGATAGCAATTACTGTAAGGCTTGTATAGATACCTAAAGTTTCTATTATTTTGGTAGTATTACACTGCAATGCATTGTTTGTTTTTTGAATGTTAAAAATCAGCTTTGACACGGATTTTGGAATCAGAAATAAAAAAAAAATTCTAAAAATTTAATTAAGTTGGTCTTTCAGCTTTAAAACATTCGAATTAAATATTTTTTTTAGGGAATGACGTTTCTAAATCATAAAACAATGGTCGGTCTGGGGTTTACCATGTGCATCTGTTTGGACGTTTGGTTGTCAACCACGGATTTTTGTTATTTATTTGTTTCTACAATTTTCTTTGTAAAAATATGCTTCTGCAGGAAAAGATGACAAAAGTTAATTAAGGTAAAATTATAAACATTTATATTCAGTTCTAGTTCTAGCTGGAAACAAAACATTCATCAGTAAAATTGGGAATTGAAGGAAAAAAGTTAATGTGTATTGGATGTAATGCAAGCAATGAGCTCCCCTACTATTGAGTTGCATTTGCATTTGGTTGTTAGGTTTCGCAGTTTTTTTTATAATTATAATTGTATAGTAAATTAATTGTTGTGCTTATTTTACTAAGTTATTGTTCGATTTTATTTTTATTTTTATTATGTGTATTAAGTGAAGTGTAAAGAACTTTTATTTTGATTTTAAGCAGCCAAATAAGGACTCTATCATGCACAGGTCATTGTGACCCATGTGATATTTTTCTTTGATTCATGTAATGTTGCAAAATAATTTGTTGTAAATAAAGAATTTCTCTCTCTCTCTCTCTCATCAGCGTACTGAGGCAGCTTAAAAAAATAAATAACTCTAAAAATTCAACAATATATAGACTCCTTTTAACTCTATCTATGGTCCACTAAACCATAATTTTCTGAATGCTGAAATATCATAGATATAATGTCCACAAGAGTTTTCGGAGGAAATGATTTGTAAGTTATAAATGAAGTAAATGAAGTACGAACCTAACTTCAAAAAAATGGGTGACAATCGTTAATTGTTTGTATTGAATGGAAACTAATAATTGTACAGTTGTCACCTATGTTTGGGAAAAGTAAACATTGGGGTTAGAAAGTGAATACAATTTTAATTGTGTCATTTTACAAACTGACATATGTTTAAGAAATTCAAACATATGTTCTAATGAGTTTAGAAAACAAAAGAGTGTTTTATAAATTCACGGATATGCCTATTTTCTTACTACCGTAAAAAATAGAATTATTTTTATCTCTTTACTATCCTAGTTCTTACCCATAACCTTTGAAACTAGGCTCAACACTTTTAGCGAATTTCCCTATAGGGTAGTAGCTATTACCGTAGGTGGCACGGTAAGACCTAGACCCGGGACCGATTAACTTTTTCATTTTGATGTCCCCAGAGGCCAAAAACACCATTCGTTCAAATTTTTATATATATATAGACTTATATATATATATATAGACTTATATATATATATATATATATATACGTCCGTGAACGCGATAACTTGAGTAATTTTTGTCCGATTTTGATGAAATTTGGTTTAAAGGTGTAAAGCGGGATAAACTTGAATGAGTTTGCGAACCAGCACGATCGGACCATGGGAACGGGGCTTTACGGGGGGTTTTATGGGGTAAAAATTGGTTTTTCTCACTTTTGACCCTCAAAACACAAAATTTCCCAATTTCTCTTTAGACCTTTTTAAAGAGCTTAAAAAAACAAATTTAGTATATAAAAGTATTTTTGTTCGATTATTAGTAACGGAGAAAATTAAAAAAAATTGTAAATTTAAAATTCCCATGTTATTCCTATGGAGAATATTGTCAAATGTTGTAGTTTGCTTGTTTATGGATACATTTTGATCAAACTTGGCAAATTTATTTATTTTGTACTAAGCTATTAATATTTTACTCAAAAACACACTTTATTAGTGTCCTTGTGGCAGCAAACCTAGGTACTCGTTAAACCTAATGTTATTAAAATATATTCAACTGAAAATCAATTCAGACAAATGGAAATTCGCTTAGTCGGCAGGTTTGCTGCGGCGGGGGTATTTATTATTATTGATGTACTCAGTGAATATTTTGAGAAAAAGATTAATGTCAATTTTGTGGGGTAATTAGGAAAATTCAAATTGTGATCCACTACCAAACCATCAGATCCCTTTAGGTAAAATATTTTACCCTACAGAAACTTAAAAAAATTATGGAATTTTGAGATAAACAAAAAAATAGTTATTCACAGATCCCTCAAGACATATTTGTAGTCAGTCAAGTTTGAGAACTTAACTTAGTGTGTTAAGTTCACAAGAAGTGGTCCATACCTCTCCATGGTGCAAACAAATCAGATTTTTGAAGGCAAATCAGATGATTCAGGTTGTGTGTTTAGGATGTGTGTTGGGCTTTCTGGTTGTGTGCCTTCATTTTGATGAAATGTTTTGTTTATGACTTAAGTCTGTATAGAAACTTTTTCATTGGTGTTGGTTTGTGAAAGGATTTTAAAATTATTCAATGTAATGCAGCGCAGTGCGGAATGTTTTATGATTGTTTTCAGAAGTAAATCCAGGCCAAGTTGTCCTTACTGTTTGTTTGTGTTCTATGTGTGTTTATCATTTGACGACATAAAGGAAAGATGATAGTGAAGATCTGATGGATATGACTATGGCTTTGCAAAAGCCAAAACCTGAGTCTTTCACAAAAAGCAAGGGGTACAGATTTAGGTGGTTTAAGATTTGTTGTATGTCTTAACAAGCAATTTGGAAATGCTAATCTTGATAGACAATACAGTGTCATCTGCTCTTTTCTAACAAGTTTTTAGCCATGTGGTAAATAATGTGGAATCAGCATCTTAATTATAGCAAATTTCTCCATAGAGAAGTAGCTATTAATGTAGGTGGGACATATTGGTTGTCGGTATTGTTAGCCTTTACGCATAACACACCACATTCCAGGAGTACTTTGACCTATTTTTTGCCATCCTTCACCTCCTCATTTTAGTCTAGTGACAACTTTGTCGATTCCACCATGTGCGTCTCCTCGTGGTTTTTTAAATAAATGTTTATTTTTCTTTTAATTGTTGATAGGCTAGAGCATTTATGTATCTCAAAGTGGCTATATGTGGAATCTAACAAGAAAAGTATATGATTGATGGTCCATCATCGTGTTGAGAGAGATGAGGGTGTTAAATTTTTAGAGAGGCTTGCAGGATATTTTCTAAGGCACCTTTTTAATGAACCATTGATGAGAAACACAAAAATATTAATGATAAAGATAAATCTTAAAAAGAATTTTATCTTTACAAGACAATGATGACTTATATAATTATTTATAACTGAACTTTTTTAGTAAACAACTAGCTGTACCCACGGGCTTTGCCCCGTTTAACTTCATAAGTATTCGCATGGCTCAATCACGTCCCGGTTGAAGTTCGTTCGCTACGCTCACTCACCTTTAGGTTGGAGCTCGTTCGCTGCGCTCACTTGTTTTCAGGTTAGCTCGTTCGCTACGCTAACTCGCCTCCAGGTTGATGTTCGTTCGCTACGCTCACTCACCTTTTGATTGCAAATTAGCTGTTGTCATAAATTTTAAAAAGTCATCCCTTTTATTGTTTATAATATTTTGATAAAGGTTTTTATGTTTTAATATTTAACATTGGAGAATTTAAACGTTGTTAAGTGCACAGGTGTGCTGCGATTGGGGTTTAATACATTTGGACTTATTCAAAAGTAAAATAGTTTTCTGTGCTGCACTCTGTAGAAACACTGTGGCACTATTTCAAATCATGACTAATGCTAATACAGAATGTTGTAATTATTCAAACCTACAAAACTGTTGGTAAAAGTAAACATCTGCTTTTAAATTATATTTATTTGTAAACATTGTAGATCAAAAAGTCTGACATTGGCCCACTTAAAACCCTCTGGGGCAGAGCCCTTTTGACAGATCTGCACCAAACTTCACTCGAACCATCCTTGAAAGATGCTTAATAATGCCTGAAAGTTTCATTACAATCTGTCGAGCGGTTTCGGAGTCCATAACGTATATACATACACACACACATACATAGTTCCTCTTTTATAGATATAGATTTTTTTAATAGTGTACAATACAGTTTGCTTCATATGTATTTGTAATTTATATATACACGAAAAAAATGAGGCATTATTGAGTTATATATGAAATGGTTTACACAAAACAAACAATGCAAGGTGTACGATTTTATTACAACTATTTTATGTTTTATCGTCTAAAGCATATTCAGATGGTTGTAAATGAAATGTTATACACCTTTTCTTCACGATTTTGAGCAATTAAAATTTAATGCTCACTGAAATTTGGTTTCATAATTAATTGTACTTGGTCGAAAAGACTGTGTCGCATTTACAATTCAGTGCGACCTCTGCTGGGTTAAACTGTTGTTTGATTTTATTATGTCAACAGATAGCCAATATTAACAGCTAATCACAGAAAATTTTTGTAATGTTATTTGAAAGAAAATATTTTATTTTTATTTTATATGTCATTATTATATTCTGATCATTGTTGCTTCTGAGATTATCCGAACTTTTACTTGTTCTAGCCACAAGTGATTGAGGGATAGTGCAGCCAAAGAATAATATGAGATTTTCTGTACTTAAAGATACGGGATAATAAAGAAGAAGATGCATAAAAAATATCATTTATTTTAATTATTTGTTGATTGTATCATCTTTTCAAATCGTTTATCACAATAAAATAGTTATTGAACAATTCAACAGGATATAGACAGCTATAAGGAATATACTTAGACAATATAAAATTATGCTTGCCAACAATTGCACATTATTATACATATAAAATACTATACATCTTACAGACAAAAAGCTTCAAAATACAGTATAACAATAGGGCTATTGAACAGATATACACTTGCTAATGAAATGATTCTAAATCTAACGCACACATAACGTTTCCACGACTTATGTTATTAGGCCCTGGGTGGTAATAATAATGGTGGAATACTGTACATAATAAATAAACTACATCTAAATACTAACTAGAAAATTGACATAAAACTCAGTGATGGAATGGTAACTTGTGTGCGCTTCGCTTGAGGCGATTACTGTTATAATAGCCTTTGTATTTAAATTATATGATAGTACTGTATTAAAAATAACAATAACATAGGAGTAAAAACTAACTGTATTGGTTAAAAGTAAAAACTCAACAGGAGTGAAAAAATTAAAACTTATTTGTATATGTAACATTTCAAATAACTTAAAGAGTCCAATCTCTTCTCAAAACTTTAATTTTAAAATTTTAACTGACTCTAGTTTAAAAAGTTGCAATCAATAGTTTTGTTATTACAGTAGTAAAATAGTCAAAAAAAATTGTATTTTACAAAAATGTAGTTAGTATCCCCTGCACCTTTGTTGTTGTAAGGTAAAGAAAACATTGGTAATTATGTATAATAAGGTGACCATGGGAACTTAATAGTAACTGTAGGAAAAATATAATGTATAAGTGGAGCGCAAAGTGCCACTTTGCACACTAGCTATAGAAATAACTATTGTTTGAAAATAATTCAAGATAGTTTTCAAAACAAAAAGACTCTTAAGCAAAGATATTTTTGTTTGCAATATGCATAAAACGTGCTCAGATGTAGTATACATGTTAACATATAAATGGGAACAACAAAAGGAAATAATACTGCAATTTTAGTGACTGTAAAATCTATAAAAACAACAATAATTAAAATAATACATCGGAAACCTGTAGTTTATGTTACCTAATATGATTAGGAAACATGGTTCTAACATAGGTTTAAAACCCATATAGATCTTATTTAGAGAATCTATAATGCAAGAGCATTGTTTTGGCACAGGCAAATTGGCATTAAACTGTGACTATATAACAATAACCAATAACTTAATAGAATTGATATTCAATTTGTATAATGATATACTAGAACTTTTCTTTAAGCCATTCTAAAGGGGATTGACATGCATAAAAAACTTTGTCTTTGACCAAAAAAGTGTTAAAAAAATATGTAGACCAAAAACAAAAAAGTATAACTTACAATTCTAAACTATCATGAGATAACAGCTCAACACTTGTATTGAATGGCTCTTATTCCAATTTTCAATCAACCCACTGGAGATTAAAGAAATATCATGCTCAAACTTAAAGGTTTTTTCAATACCAAATTTGTAAGATAATTCATGAAGATAGAACATTTTAAGATTGCTTGGGTACACGCAAATTCCTTTTGAAAATCAAATTATGTAAGAATTTATTTATATTTAATTCAATTCAAATAAAAAGTGATTGAAACCCATTCAAACCTGCTAAAATGACAACACAATCATACTGTATTCTAACAAACATCTACGTAGAGACATTTTTAATCACTATAATAAAATCTCTTTTATATAACAATAACGCTTAAGTAGAGTAATAATGTACAACTCGAAGCTGCTTGTAAGCACAGATAGACCACTAAAATGTGGTCTACAGAACAACACAACATTAGAGATCTTAAAACAACGTAAATTCAAGAATACTACCACTCTAATGACAACCATCAGTAATTAAAATAAATAATCAAGTATGGTAATAGATTACACATTTAACAAAACCTAACGGTTTAGAATGTATTACCACGCTTAACGTAACTTTGTTCTAACATGACACATGCACAACAAGAGTTGCGGGGAAGATTGATATGAAGAACACGATATAATACAGCGGTAAACACAGCTATGAGCCGTAACAGTAGTTAGACTATTAAAATAGAACTGGAATCCAAAAGATAAAACACTGCTAAACAGCTTAACAATTGGAGAAGCGCTGGTTGCGTATTGTACCGAGATATAAAATCTGTAATCACAAAGTTAAAACACCCCGCCAAGGCTCAGATATAACAATAAGGACACAGTAAGGGTTAGTTCTCAACACTACACCTCGGTGGAGGACTTGGGGCGAGACTTGCGTCTTCTCCTGGCCAACTCACTCATGACCACGGGGCCTAGGTTGGGGGCGCGAGGAGACTGACTCATCGCTCTGTAGGTGGCCGCCATGGCTCCCTGCAACATCAACAATGTGTAAACACTTACACTATAGATGCAAAATGTATAAACAATAATCATAGGGATTGTTTTTTAATTTTGCAATTGAAAAATAAAGCCTCAGAAAGTAAACTTAATCCAAACTATCGATACAGTGCCTATGACCAGATATGGACGGGTTCCAAAATGTTTGGAAATTTTCAGGGAAAATGATTCCTTTGAGTGAGATTACATTTAGTATGATGTATTACATTTACTTTACATTTATCAAATACATTTCTCTGGATGGTATTTGTTCTAATTGTCATCAATTTCATCATGACCGTGAGAATAAATATACAACCCCGAGATCAGAAGAGATGTACATGATTTTGTTGCAATAGGAATTGACAATTATGTCCCTGCGCTTGCAAGTGAAACTAATCATTGACCGGTGTTACCTAGAAGTATAGAACAGGGTCAAAAAGACTGTAAATTAATTTTGATTGTCATTATTGCTATTTGCAAATTTGTAACCCCCAATTTTTTAATAAAAACTTAAGTTTCCTTTGTTGCACTGGAAGAACAGCCCCATCTCGGCTAAGGAATTAAGAAGAAAAAAGGAAAAAAAAAATGGATCCTATCTAAAATTTGTACCTAGTAAAATCTGTTAATCCCTACTAATGACATTACTAATCATAAATATTTTGAGGTAATAACTGGAAAAGCAGATGGTAAAGTGCTAAGCTTTTGAGATCATATAAAAAAGTGCCAAATACAATATGACTATTGTTCTTACCTTTAGCTGAGCAGCCTCTTGCAGAACCAGTCTATGTGTAGGTAGCTGGTGTCTGTTGGTGAGCCACGTATGCAGTAGTACCTGAGCTGCGGTGGGTCGTCGGTGTGGGTCGATGTGTAACATCCGCCTCACCAGATCCTTTGCCTCCGCACTGACAGTCGCCCAGTTGCCTCCCGTCAAGTCTAGCTGACACTCACTGATCCGTCGCAGAATGTCTGTAGGTGTGTCGGTTGGTCCGTTGGCGAATGGACTTCTCCTGTTATGTAAAGAGAAGTTAAAAAACATATTTTAATATCTAAATATAAATCTATAGAAATACAGAGAGGTTAACCCTTCCTGGACGGGTGACGGATTTAACCGCACAGTTAAAAACAAGAAAAAAAATATTTTGACAGTATGAAGTCTTCCATTGTTTTTATTTTATGTATACTTGTATAACAAAACACAAATAAGGAAAATTAATTTTTATTTTTTCCTAGAATTTTTTTATGTTTTATGTCACGATTTCGCCCGTTTGGGAAGGGTTAATTTGTTATTTACAGCTTGATTATCTGATCCTTAGTTATGTGACTTTCTGTATTATTATTATGTGGGTTTCTATGCATCGAAATTCAAATTCCATTCGATTCGATGCAGTGGTGGTCAAAAAATGATTCGATTGATGGGGGAATCAGTATCCGTATACGAAACGCCTGTAGAAAGTCAATGCAATACCCGCAATACAGGAGCGCGTTGTTGTTGTGTTTCCTTATTTTATCCTGAAAAAAGTCAGTAACTTTTTGATGGTTCAACACTGAAATCAACTGTCTTTGATCATTGGGCATTTAATAAATGGTCCTAGCAAAAGTCTTAGTCAGTAAGCAGTAAGCTTAACACATCATCTCATCCATTTATCACTCACAATTCACTAAACATGTACCCTGTTGTCGTCATTATAGGAGACTAATTAAATAATTGTACGGTGTTGGTTTTTAAAGTTTAAATATATTATTTAACCTTTTACAATGGTTTACATGGTTTTTTATGACATTCTTTTTATTCTGCAACAAATTTAGATAACTGAAACTATACTGTGGACTGACTTACCCAGCCAACAAGGTGTACAAGATGACACCCAGAGACCAGATGTCACAAGCTGCGTCGTAGCCTTGTCTCTTGAGCACCTCAGGAGCCACAAAGTTGGCCGTGTAGCAGGGTGTCATCAGCAGACCGTTCTCAGCCCGCAGTTGTTTGGCAAACCCAAAGTCACACAACCTCAGGTCCTCAGGGGCCGCCACTTCTGTTGCGTACAGCAGATTGGATGGTTTCAAGTCCCTGTGAACCACCTGTGAAGGAAAAAAAGAAGTTTTAAGACCACTTTTATTCAAATACTTTATTATTTTTATGTACTAGTAAACATCACTAATGAGTTATACTGTTCCATAGTGTTACTGTTGATAGCGTCACAGTAGAAAGGCAAATATATTGAGTGCTGTAGGATGAAAATAAGGGAGATAAAAAATTGTTACATTCAAAACTCACTTAGGATAAAGTAAATACTAAAATGTAAAAAAATTATATCGTGAAAGCACTATTGAATCAGGAATTATAAGAACAAATTAAAAAGCAGTAACAACTTTTCTGGGGTCTGTACGTACCAGTTGATGAGGGTTCTTAGTTCTCATTATTCTGGCTAAATACTATAGCAACATAGGCAATTTTTTCTGTCTTTAAACTTTACCAGCACTAATGCCTTTAGTGTGGTACATGAGTGAGCCTAGTAGTTAAATACATTCACAACATGAAACTTAAATTTAAAGGACAACTTGTTTCTGGGTTTGTTTATCAGTATAAAGTTCATTAAGGAGAGTTGGAGACAAGTTTTAACTAGCATGCAAACTTTAGGTGCAACTAGGTACACTTATTATCACAGGATGAACACCATTCAAGACTTGAAAAAAAGTTTTAGCTTTGACATAAATTTTTGGCCTAACGAATTTCATACGTTCCAATCAGCTGTAATTGTTTAAGGATCACTGATGTTTAATGTTGATACTGACCCCATGTTGGTGCAGGTAGGCTACAGTTGACACCACAGTGTGCATCACTCCACTAGCCTCTCTCTCTGAGAACATCTTGTGACTCCTCAGTCTGTCCAGCAACTCTCCCCCTCTCATCAACTCCATCACCAGGTACACAGACTTGTCATCCTCGTACACCTGACACAACATCCAATTAACTTCCAGATTTTGGTTCTCGAAGAATCTTTGTCAAATAAAGATATAAGGAATTTTGTTTATTGTGTATCTACTAGCCCCTAGGATGCGTTGGCGAACACGTCATCCTCGACAGCTACAATCGCAGCAGAAACTTGAACACTCCGTGACTATTACTCACAGTTTTGTAGACATTATCATTGTCTTCCACAATCACTGCAAATTCCAGAAAATATTCTGCGGTCAAGTGGACATTGCATAATTTTCTGTGTTATTGGCAAATAAAAAAAAATACTGGGTCTTATAGACAATCATCATTATCGTTACGCACGCTCTCAACTAAATCCTCAATGAGTACCACGGTTTGGTAGACATCATCATAGTCTTCCACTATAGAAGGCAAAAGCCTTGAATATCTACAGCTGTACACCGTCGCTCACAATCACGGCAAAATCTTGTAGGCCTACACTCTCTGCGATTGTGTAGACATTGCAGCAATTGTGTCACAAACTCGTGGCAAAAGAACGAGCACAACAACCAATAAATCAAAACTGCCATTTTCCACCAATTTCTTGGTTCCAGTGGTTTTGCTAAAAACCAGTAAAACCAACTTTTTAAACCGGCCCATCCCCACCAAAAAGCATACTTTACTAGCAGTACTTACATCTCGTAGAGTGACAATATTGCTATGGTGTCCGTAGCGCAAGAGTATATCAACTTCTTCTTGGCAATCTCTTTTTGACTTATCTATGACCTGAAAAAAACAATTTCAAACATAAGTATTGTTTACTTTAACTCTATGCACTTACTGCAGAATATTTGTTTGAATACACAAATACTAAGATTAAAAAATGCTATTTGAACATTTCATAATGGAATCTTTTGCAACATTACTTTTTTCAGTAAATAATAGATTCCATAGTGATGTCAGGAAAACCGTCGCCAGCTTTTTCCGCGGATTGCTCAAGTCAGCTTGCTGAGAAGTTTCCAGGGTTTAAAATCATTATGAAATTCCAATTTACCACAGGCAAACATTTTTATGCACAAAAAACATAGAGTGAATCAGGTGTGAACTCAGTACTATAACCAACAGAATCATTGAATAACTAATTAGATTTAGTTAAGCCTTACTGAAATTTCCCAAAAATATTGTGTGTGAGGCAGCCTATACAAACGAATGTGAGAAAACAAATAAAAGTTACAGGATTCATAAATACATTTCCCTAATTGTATATGTACTACAGACTTGGCTTGGTATTTTTTTGACAATTTTTCTATTTAAACCCACCTTGACTGCATACTCCACTTTGGTCGCCCGGTGGATACACAATCTGCAGACAGAGTAGCTGCCTCTTCCTATTTCTTCTCTCAAGTCGTACTCATCATATACTGAGTTGGATTTGACATACGGCAGCTGTGAAACAACATAGTTACTAGGACAAGTGATCTAACTACACAATTCCAAATCAAAATGGCTAATAAATAATTTTAATTAGAGTTCAACCCCAACCGTTCTCTGAGCTAGTAGTGTGAGGCTTGTATTCTAATTCTGCTCATTCATTGTCAATAATTTATTGAAGCAAAAGTGCCTGGGCTAACAATCTAAAAGAAAGTCTTTTAAACACCACTGTTTTTTAATTATAAAAGTCCCCTCTAAGCCATACAATTTTCAACTTGACTTACTTTATGACCTAAATCGTCCCTAGGCTTGGGCCTACCACGAATCACGTGGCTTATGCACATGGTTTTGCATAATCAAACTACCATAGGGTTTAAAACACTAAGCTTTTCTCAGGAACAAAACAATGGTAATTAAATTTTTGAATATCTAACACCAAAATTACTGTTTACTCATTTTGGAAGTACAACGGAATACTCAACTTTGATTGTTTACAAAAACAGTTCCTTAAGTTATAGCACACAAAAAGTTCCATCACAAAACCACAAGTAAGTACTGAGGTAGAATTACTGAAAACAATTAGCTTCCTCCGAGTGGCATAAAATAAAGTTTAATGTATAATAAACTATTATTTTGCCTAGAACTCTTTTCTTAGATGAGTTAGTAGGCCATCCATTCCTTGCTCCCTTGAAGCTTTAGCCAGTGGATTTTCCCCATCCTAACAACATCCCTTTTTAAGATTGTAAGTAGCAACTTAAAGACTGACAGTAAAGTGCTCTTACCTTGTGTACCTTGCTGACAGGTTCTGTTCTTGTCTCAGCAGCTAGTATCTTGTTCTGTATCGTTCCTTGGTTGAGTTGTTCCTCAGGGTCTAGCAGACCTGGTGCCACAAAACTGAACCCTCGGAATAGCTCATGGGCATTGGCGCTGGGAGGAATACCTGGCGAGTCTGTGGAAAACAAATATAGGCTAGAGGATTCATGATTATATTTTTGTCATTTTATATGTACTAAAACTAAAACAGCTTCATATTTTGTTAAAAGTTATGATATTTGCAGAAATTACTAAATGATAATAAAATATGAGTTAGTGTAGCATTGCATTATTTTAGGCAGTCAATCTGTAAAAGCCAATTTAAAATCTGTTTTGTTAATTGATTGATTGGCACTTGCTGTTCCTACACTTCTACTCAAAACAGTTTTTTAAGGTGTCACACAATTTTCAAGATATCTTTTCTTTTAAAAACTAATTTTATCTTTGTTTTAATGCTTTCTGTTCACTAGGAATTGAGAAAAAGTGGATAAGGGGAGAAGGGGGTCAAAGCTTCCTGAAGGTTCCACTTCTGGTACATACAATAAAAAAATTAAGCACTAGCTACGAGTAATAAGCTTATATACTGTAATGTTTTGTCTAATGAATACATGAAAATGCAGAAATATACATTGTATATTATGAATTTGTCATTAATCCCACGTTTCTCAGAACATAACTGATTTCGTTTATGGGGTTTATATCATTTCTTTCAAACAATTCTTTCAAGAAACTTCTCATGTCTGATTTTCGTTAAGTCTTCAGACTTGTGAAGTACTTAGTTCACTGCGGGTGTATCCGATCGGATACAGGCCAAGCGGTGTTCAGGTGCTGCCGTAACCGATCGGATACGCTCGGCAATGCCTTTCGTATATTTTGCTTTATTTCGTAATTTTGCTCTAGTGTCAGTCGAAGGCGGACCTATACCACGTTAGCGTGTAGTGGGTGACTTGCTTTTGGTTGTGTTGTAGGTTGGTAGTAAAATTTCCCCATAAAATCCCCGTCTCGCAAACTTAAAAATCAACTTGGTGTCCCGTCATTCTCCCTCCAATTAGCAATACAATGGGACCGGCTACGTTCCAAGCAGTGCTGCTATCTGTGGGGTGTTTAGAGAACTACATCAACTCTTGTCATAAAGCAGGACATCACCGCTCGTTATTTGCTATTTGCCATCCCGAAATATGAAAGCCAATCACCCGGCAATCAGGTTTGTTCAACGCTGTGGGGTGCGCCGCACTGGGGCTACGCCTGCCATTTGATGGGCCGCAGCGAACGTGTTAACAGGAAACATAAATAAGTAAACCAACCTTTGGGAGACTTTGATGTGAATTCACTGTCAAAGTAAAATGCATCATCCGCCCTGCTAACAGCTGGTTTGAAAGGGGGTTGGATTTCTTTCCGCAGAAGCTTGTCCCAGTCTATTGTGGCAAAGAATGGGTGTCTTTTGATTTCATTAATGCCTTCAGGTCCTGAAATTAATATCACTATAAGTAAGATATAATGGTTACACAAATAATGTAATACTTACATGATTTCTATTGGCCAATGTTAATTGGCCACAAAATGTGCTAATAGCAACTTTTAAAGTAATCTCAACTTTGTTGAAATTAGTTTTTTTTTTGTTTTATTTTATGAATATAGATCACTAATATGGATACAGTTTTCCAAGCGGGGATTGGGTTTGAAAGCAAATGTTTCCAGTAATATTAGATACCCCTGCCGCAGCAAACCTGCAGACTAAGAATTTTTTTTTCAATTAAATTCATTTCAATAACATTACGTTTAACGAGTACCTAGGTTTGCTGCTACAGAGAGGGTACCTAATAATAATAATGTGTATTTTTTCAAAAATATTAAGAGCTTAGTAAGGATGAAATAACTAAATTTGATAAAAATATATTCATATACAAGCAAACAGCAACAGTTGACTTATTCTCCGTAAGAATAACATGGAAAATTTTATGTTTCGAGGGTCAAAAATGAGAACAATCAATTTGCACCCCATAAAACGGAAACATATATATGAATTGAAACGGATGGTGTTTTTGGCCTCTGGAGACGATCAAAACGAAAAAGTCAATCGGTCCCGGGTCCAGGTCTTACCATGAGACCTACAGTTATAGCTTATTCCCTATGTGGGAAAGTCGGTAATAAAGACTTGAGGCTAATTTTTTGTGCTGGAATGGTTTTACTGTAACTATAAACTTCATAAAACAAATTTGTTTGCAATGTAAATTATAAAACTTAAAAGTTTGAGAATGTAGAATTTTGTTCAATAATAAAAATAAAAAAAACTAATAATTCTTCACCTTTTTAATGAATAAGATAATTACCTAACTAAACCTTGGTTTTGTAAATACTGTACCTACTCGCTTTTTACAAACTATATTAATAAATGCCAACATCTCACCAGCGCCTAGCCTGTTGGCAGGGTTTCTCTTGAACAACACCCTCAGTAGTGACTGTGATTCTTGTGAGAGAAACTGAGGCATTCCCAACTTGGCCTTCAGTATCTGAGTCATTGTCTCCTTACGGTTGGCTCCTGTGAATGGTAGCGTTCCTGTCAGCATCTCAAACTGTGACAAACAGTCAGATGTTAAATAATCACAATCACAACAAACGTAAAACTTGAATTGTTGATAATAGGCATGAACTGTGTCCGCACTAGTGAGTACTATGACTATCCGTAGTACTATCCTGATAATTAGACCAATTCATTAATAACAAGGCTAAAATGTGGCTTCTGATTTCACTATAAACAGAAGGTACCTTTAGTTGCCGTTGGCTGTATGGGCTATTAATTAACAACTGTGTCTAAGGAACATGTCGGGGTTAGTCAGTAACAAGACTACATGATCGCGCCACTCATCCTACATTCATCTCCATTCATACTTTGCTCAAAACACCTACATTAGTATGGTCGCCAATTCATAAAAAAGTATTAAAAGCTAAATCATTTTATATCACCACCACTTTTCGCTTCAAGATGGCTGAACGCAAACTTGTCGCATGAGTGTTGTCCTCGTTAATGTGTATATTTAGTTATTCATATTTATCAAATCTTACCAAATCGCTGTCCTCTATCTGCATAGTTGAACTGTGAGTCTAAATGTGTCTGGTATTACCCTTTTATTGTGGATAATTACATTATCAAGAACTATTTCTCAACTAACCTAAAAGACTAATAAACCTGCAATTAATCTTGTCTGCCGTCATTCCGGAGTTCCCCTGTCACAGTTTTCGCTATTCCCCCGTTCCCTGTCTCATCTTGTCAATAACGAATAACCACAACCACAACAGCCAGGCTACGGCGAAACTCTGTTTGTCGCAAATCCACAGCCTTCATGATATCTTAATACTACAATCCACAACAGCACTATATAAAATATACATCTGATGGTGAATTGAGTAGCCATCAACTTCTGATCTGATTATTGATTGTCCCCTGAATAGTCATATAAATATTCGTCTAGAAAAATAATCTAAAAACGACAGCAGCTATCTCTGGTGACGACTGTGGTTTCCTTACTATGGCAGCCCAATTCCCGGATGATACTTGCCCTATCTGCATTAAAGTAGTGGGCAACAATGACAAGGGTCTCCAATGCAACGGTAAATGCAATCGTTGGTTCCACAAAGATTGTATCCCAATGTCTACAGCTACTTATAACTCACACGTAAACGATGTCAGTAAGCCATGGTTCTGTAGCAGAGTCGATTGTGATATGGGTGTTTCTCCTGTTAACAGCAAATTAGATGTAATCCTAGATAAACTTTCTACCCTAGCAACAAAAAATGAACTGAAGATTGTTACTGATGGTATTGAGACTATTAAAAATGAATTGAAAAATGTGTCCGCCAAAATCAACGAACTTGAGCCCCGTCTTACCATCGTTGAGGCTGAACTGGCAAAACTTATCCCACGACGCAAACCTCATTCAGAGTCTTTTGCTAAGCACTAAATCCGATACTCCTATATCAAAGATTCATCACACCAGGTTAGGCAAAAGGGCGAACGACAAACCCCGGCCTCTCTTGATTTCTATGCCATCCGAACATGAAGCCATTAATATTTTTAAAAACTTCCAAATCGATACCCTTCCTGAAGATTTACAAGGAATTATTGTCTCTCATGACCGCACTATAAGTGAGAGGAAGTATTTAGAACATCTCCGCTCCTCATTAAAAGCACGGCAAGAAGCTGGAGAAGCTAATCTGACAATACGATTTGTAAATGGCTCACCATGCATTGTTCAAAAAAACTAAATTCACCCAACGGCATTAGCAATACTTCATTAAATATGTATTGCCAGAATGTTAACGGTCTTCGTTCAAAATTAAATGAATTTTCTCTTAACTTAGCATGCTCATTGTATGATATTATACTCCTTTGTGAGACCAATCTCACGCCCCTTATAGCTGACAGCGAGGTTGTGGGCGATTCAGACTTCTCTGTATTTAGGTGTGACAGGTCTGAATTGACAAGCTGCAAGGCATCTGGGGGTGGTACTCTGATTGCAGTCCGGAATGGATATTCCTTGAAGAAGCTTCATACTAGAGACAGAAATGTTGAAAGCGTGTTCGTTCTACTATCTCCTGGAACTGGGCGCAATATCCTCCTAGGTAGTGTATATATACCTCCATCTAGCCCACCTAGTTTCTACCGTGACTTCTGTGATACCATCAGCTCAGTCATCGAAGAGTCTAATCACCCTGAAAATGTTTTTATCTTCGGCGACTTCAACCTACCAAATTTCGACTTGGACCTAAAACCACTGGGATCTTCACGCTTTGCCATAGAACATCTAAAAGATATGGCTGCTCTGCACTCCCTATTCCAAGTCAATCACATCCGGAATCATAGAGGAGTCTCTCTTGACTTAGTCTTCTCCTCCAACCCCCTGCTTGAGGTTACGAGGGCTAGTGACTGTCTGATTGACCCTGAATTGCACCACCCGGCTTTGACTACCAGTATACAAATTTCCACATCATCTTCTTTAATTGACAACAGCCGTGGACATAATCTCCGAAAATGCAATCTAGCCAAAGTATACCAAGACTTGTCTAATGTAGACTTATCCTTCATCCATGAATCGGTTCCTGTGGACGAAAAGTTTAACCTATTGCTGAATACCCTTGAGGGCATCACCCTACAGGCCTCACCTATAACCAGCTTTGGAGTATCTCGCTTCCCCAGGTGGTTTTCCAGGGACCTCAAAAATTTGGTCATCAATAAAAAAATTGCACACAAAAGATTCAAAGACAGCCTTAACCCTGCTCACTATCACCAGTTCGCTCGTCTGAGAGATATGTGTCGAAACCTATCAACAGCATGCTACCAGGAATATTTATCAAATGTTGTGAACAACATCTCCTCCAATCCCCGGGTCTTTTGGGGTTTTATCAATGCTAAGAAGAAGTCACCGGCCATTCCCCAGCTTATTCACCTAAACGGCAGACAGGCAAGAGGTGCTGAGGACAAATGCAATCTCTTCTCATCTTATTTCAGCTCCGTATTCTCCCCAGCATCCACGATAGTACCCGACTTTACATTTCCTGTCTTCGACTGTCTTGGTTCCATCAGAGTTACTGAAAACGACGTAAAGCAAAAACTCCAAAATCTTGATGTTAACAAAGGAGCTGGACTTGATAACATCCCTCCATCTGTCCTCCATCACTGTTCTGACTTACTTCACAGACCTCTTCAGATGCTCTTTAATGAATCCCTTGCAAAAGGAGTTTTTCCATATGCCCTAAAGAGTGGTTATATTATACCAATCCCCAAAAAAGGAGACCCAAGTGATGTAAAAAATTACCGCCCGATTACTATCCTGTCCGCTGTTGGAAAAATATTTGAAAGCATTGTGGCTGATAGACTCAAATACCATTTTTCAAGAATTATTCACCCTGCTCAGCATGGCTTCGTACCTGGGAAATCAACAGTATCCAATTTGCTACTGTTTCAAGAATCTGTACTCTCTGCCTTCCGCAACAACAACCAGGTTGATACGATCTACATAGACATGGCCAAAGCATTTGACAAAGTTGATCATAACATCTTGGTGTCCAAATTAAGAGGGCATGGAGTTACGGATCCCCTGCTTTCCTGGATTACTGACTACTTGTCCAATCGCTCTCTGGTTGTCAAAATTGGGTCTGTGAAATCTGGAGAGTTTACTCAATCTTCTGGCGTCCCTCAGGGCTCCATATTAGGCCCATGGCTATTTAACATTTTCATCAATGATCTGGTAGACGCTGTGGAAACAAATGCTCTATTGTTTGCCGACGATCTTAAAGTATTCGCCGAGATTTCCTCAGTAGAAGACTGCCGCATGATGCAAAAAAGCCTGGACGGAATCAGTCGATGGTGCATCAGTAACAACATGCAGATTAACCCTGAAAAGTGTTCAAGTATGTCCTTTCATCGCAGCAAGAACCCCCTCTTGACATCTTACTCAATATCAGATGTTGATATCCAAAGAGTTACCGTTATAAAGGATCTGGGTGTTTTCTTCCGTCACGACATGGGCTTCTCAGACCACGTTGATGGGATTTGTAAACAGGGCAACAAAATGTTGGGCTTCATCTCAAGATCTACCCGTGGGATTAACAACCCTGATGCTCTAAGAACGCTGTACTGCGCTATGGTGAGACAGATTGTGGAGTACGCCAGCCCCGTGTGGTCACCCTATGCTATTGGTGAAAAAGACAGGCTGGAAGCATTGCAGAGACGTTTCATCCGCTTAGTGGGAGTTCGCAATGGCTTTAACTACGCGGACGTCCCTGTCGTTTCTCTCTCTTCTGAACTGCAGCTTGTATCTCTTGCGGTGCGCCGAGACTTGGCCGACTTCATGCTCCTACTGAAAATAATCAGAGGTCTTCTATTTTGTCCGGATCTCCTGTCAAAAATTGACTTCAAAGTACCGTCTGGCACTAGGACTAGGGAACTCTTCGTCCGAAGACACTACAACACGTCTTTCGACTTCCACAGCCCACTAGCTCGTCTTGCCAGGCTTGGAAACCGTGTTGCTCCGGACTGTGACCTGTTCTGTGACACAATTTCTCATCTCAGAAGATGTGCTACGGAAATCTTCACTCCTTGAACCTGTACGAGCGTAAACTAGGCCTACTTCCAGACATAGATTTTCACCAGCATTTGTTCATCTTGTGATGTAGGCCCCATGTAAAATTTGTAAAACTGATTATTATGTTTGTTCCTGCATTTTTGTCAATGTAAAATTATTTATTGTAAAACAATTATTGTAACGAATTTGTCAATTTGTATGTATTGTAAAATAACTTAAACTCTTCTTGATCTCACTCATGCACTACTTGTTGCCATCCAACTCTCTATTTAAAAATTGTAAATATTTGTATTGTTGATATTTTTGTTACTATTGATATTGTTACCACTATTGTTATTGTTCACTATTTTGTTGTGAGTTGTTATGTTGTAATGTTTTTCATTGTAAAGTGGCTATGCCGTTGGGAAATAAAATAAAATAAAATAAATAAAATAAATAAAATATATCCTAGAAACTTCAGAAGCATAAAAAGAATTAAGTAGAAATTAGCTTGATACAATGGATGGATAAGAAGGGTTTGCAGGGGGAAAAGAGTCACTGATAACAGGGAACAATAGGAGAAACTTATTTAAGTTAAAGTCTTATGCTCCAGTGGGAATTAAAGTTACTAAATCACACGAGACAATCATATGTTATGATATTTATAAAAGCAAAAGGAATAGCGTGGCTAAGCCATGTACCACAAGACACACAAGGCCCAATCACTGGATGTTCACTAGGCAGTCCTAAAATTAGACAGTAGGCTACATTTGAGTACAAGGTATAGCAATCAAAGTGATGGGACAGTTTAGATGAAAGAGATTTATAAAAAAAAAAAAAAAAAATATGCACTAGCTAAGAGTTGACATTGTGTGAACTGACTAAAAAGTGTTAAAACATTCCAAATACTATCTCCTAATCAAACCTTTTTCACTGGTTTAGAAATAAAATAAGTGTACAACATCAAGGAGGCAAACCTATTACTGAACCTTTTAAAACTGATACAGATTTCCCTGATGACAGAATCAGTGGTTCCCTCAAAACAATGGTGTACACTGTATACATACCATGAGGACTCCGAAGGACCACCAGTCTGCAGCAAAGGAGTGACCCTTCCTGTTGACAATCTCTGGTGCCATGTACTCCACAGTGCCACAGAAGGAGTAGGCTTGCTGGTCATCCAGTGGCAGCTTGCTCAGACCAAAGTCTGTCAAGGAGATGTGGCCGTCTGCGTCCAGCAGGATACTGGAACAGCAGTTGAGTATGAGTGATCTAAGGGTCACCAGTTCCACCCTTAGAAACACCAGAAACTTTTGTATGGTTCAAAACTGGGCCAAGCTGCCCTGGACCAGTTGGCTTTCAATAATAACTATCCTGACTAAAGAAAGAACTGTTAGTCAGTAACAAAGCTACAGAGATCACATAATCCATTTTAAATGTTGTCTTGCACTCATATGAATTTAGCAATCCACACACAGGTGGTGTCTCAAAACATAACAAATTATAACGACTCTGCCCGTAAAAGTTTTGCACACTAACAAATGAGCCGTTGAAACAAGCAAATAAAAAATAATTACCAAAAGAAGGGACCAATTAGATTTATGAATCTTAAGACATTCTAATAAAAGCACTGATTAAGCCTTGTTTTTTTTATAAACCCCAATTTCTATACTAAAAGGTTTGATATTATGTGGTAGGAAAACATACTTTTCAGGCTTGAGGTCCCTGTAGATGATGCCCAGGGAGTGGATGTGGTCTACTGCGAGAGCCAGCTCAGCCAGGTAGAACTTGACATCCTCCTCTGTGAACATCACCTGCAACCATACACAGACAATGTCAATAGGAAGAAGACATCAGTATCAATCAGCTATCTCCCTTCAACCTTGCTCGTAGGTGTTTTCAAAATTAGTGATGTGACGTTACCTAAAGGCCTCTGTATCTCTGGTTTTTGGAAAATTTACATTAAAATATCACTATTGGTGCTTTGGTACCAACAGGTCCCAAGTCTTAAGTCTGTACAATCAGATGATATAGGCTACGCAATGTTGCATCAATTGAATTGTTGGTGCAGCGAACAAAAATGGCGACCTAAACATATAAAAAGCAATCATGGCAAGGCAATATCTGAGAGCACCTCTCACAATTTCCCACTATCCCAATTTTCTAATTATTTAGTTATTTATTCATTGAATAAATAAGTACATTCATTGAGAGTTTGTACACTAACACCGGGTCTGTAGAACACACTCTCCACGAGTAGTGCTCCAACAGGGCAAGGCATCAAAGGTACAAATTCACAGCCCAAATGAGTTAACAACATATCACATTTTTTTAAATTCCAACATACAGATTAATTTTCCCCAAAAGCAAATAGCTATTTAACATTTTTTTTTTACAAATTTAATTTTTTTAAACAAATTTAAAATTTTTAAAAATTTATAAAGTTTATAATTTTAAATAGCTAGTGATTATTATCTTATTTTTCCACACCTGAATGCCAATTTTGGTGAGAATCGCATTACCCATTCTCCTTGTGAATTGGTACCAAAGATGAAAAATTTACTACTTTCAAGCTCCATATCTCGCTGATTATTCAAAATAGAACATTTTGTCTTATATATTTGTATCTCTAATTTTTAGTACAATTAAACAATAACAAAAAAATAAGACATCAAATTTTTTACCAAACACCCTTAATGATCCCAGCATGCTATTTCCAAAATACAGTAATCATGAAAAGTTAGAGCTTGAAAATTTAGGAAAAAATTATTTTGGGAGTTCTACAAGGAACTTTGCCAATTATTTGTATTACTTTTTTTCTGATTTAAAAATCTTTTTTGAATGAGGAGGGTGCCTAACTAACTTGATTTGACAAAGATAAAAAGTTAAAGGACCCTCAGCTATCCTTAGGCTATTGGCAAAGACTATTCAAACGCCAAAACTTTTGCATCTACAATTCACACTTTTTCTTAGAGTATAAGAATTCACGTACAACTTTTCTGGTTTCACAGTTTCTGGGCTGCCTGGATATCAAATGTTGATATTTATAGCTTTTAAGTAGATAATAAATTAGTGTATTGTGTATATTCTTTGTCACCTCCTTGGATAGCCGTGTGAACAGATCTCCTCCTCTGAGGAAGTCCAGGATAAGGTAGAGCTTTCCCTCGGTCTGGAAGGCGTAATGTAGTCTGACAATGAACGGATGTCTTACATCCACTAGAATGTTCCTCTCCATCTTGGTTCTCATCCGATCTCTCACTGTAACAACAAATGATTGTTACGACTGCTCAGGATTTGTAATAAACAATGATAAAACATATACAGGTAGAAGAGGAAATTTAGGCTACACGAAAAGCTATATACCTTAGTACATGAACTTTTTTCACTTGTGATCTATAATGTTTCATTGAAGGACAATAGTGGCTAAATGACATAGCAGTAAAAAAAAAATTTACCTATATTATTTACACAGTTTTTGGAGGCAAACAAATTTCAAATACCAAATATTTATACATCGTTGTGAAATACATTTCAGTAGTTAATTCATCATTATTAATTGTCAACAAATCCAACAATTAACTAGAAATTCTTCCACAGAAAACAATGATTTACTTCATAGAATATTATTAAGAACAATACAGTAAAACAGGAATGTTTGAAAACATCAAAGGTATTGTGAATATTTAGCTAATATTTCAAAAAAAAAAGAAACCAGCTTTTATTCACAAAACTAATAACATTAGGCAATATAAACACAGAAACTTTTGAATCCATTAACATGTAAAACACAAGTAAGCCTCTGATACTAAATTAACCGAAAATTCCTGTAAAAGAATTCAAAAAGAATTCCAGTAATATCAGCAAGCATGTTATCTGTTTTAAGAGTCTCACATTCCTACACAGAACAAAACACAACAGGACGGGAAGTGGCTGTTGTACTTTGTTGGGAATTTTAATTGCAAATTTGCAGGAGTCAACAATTAGCCTGCTCCAGCCCGAGTGTTATTAGACAAAACATGATGCAAATTCAGCCACTTCCCCTCGTTATGGAAGAGTTCTCATCATTACTGACCGTTAAACTATCCCAGACCAGTGCAAACACTGATATCTCACATCACAAAAACACTCAAAGTGTTTTCAACTGAATGGTGAACATGATAATGTATTTGACTAGCTGAATTTTTGTACAATAAAAATCGAATGAGTACTAGATTAAGTTCATAATTGCCAGTTTGTCACTAAAATTTAATTTTTTTTACCATGGAAGCTGTCTAGAAGTTTTTTTGAAGCTAAACTCAACAGTTTATCATATAACATTAATGGGTTTAAGTTAAGGTGAAAAAATAACAACCAAATCTCCAAAATTCAAATCCAAAACAAAATTATTCAAGAAATGTTTGCTCAACATTCCCCCTAAAGTTAAAATCTTTTTTCTTAGCACACATTTTTTAGTTATAGAGTTACCTATTACTTCTCCCAATAAAACATACAGTTGATGTGCAATACCACTAGGTACTCTTATAACACTCTGATACCGTATTGAACATTTTACACAGCAAGTCAACAATATGTCTGGGACATTATGAAACTGCTAATGGCTGCTATTAGTGTTTCACTAAAGGTCTCAGCTCTTGCTTTGAGAAGAGATCCATCTTATTTCTCGGTAATGATGTCAACATTGTTAGTGTTTAACTTTCAACACTTCACACACAAGGGTCGTCTACAAACTGATAGGTAATTAGAGAAAGTTAAATGAGCAAGGGTTTAAACTACATCTAATATTTTTTAAACAATTTAAATTCTCAAAAAAGCAATAATAAGAAATCTACAAATAAATCTGAATATTATTATATTAAAAAAAAAAAAAAAAACTTGGTTATTGTGGAAAAAACATGGATATCTTTCTAAATATTCTAATGATTTGTTTATCAACAATAATCGGTGATTGAAAATTAGTTTGCTGTTAAAATTCAAACCTAATAGAAATATTTAATTGTAAAAAGTAAAGGGATAAATGTTAACAAACATATAATTCAGCAACTTTTAATTAAAACTTTAAACAGAATCGACAACTTTTACATTTGTTAAGTGCTTTCCAGAATTTATCATGTAAAACCCTAAATTGAATAAAAAAATAAATAAATAGTGAGAATATTGTCTTGAATGAACCCAGAAGAGAAGATTAAAATACAGTAAATTAAATTGTCAGCACCTATATTAGTGAAAGAACTTGAGACAAAGCAGCTAAATAACCTAACACAATTTAAAAGTTTCTCTTTATATTTGACTTAAGGTGAACTAAACTGAAAAGTAGATGCCATTATACTTTTCTTCGGAGGAAAGTTATCTAGATATAACTTTTCTTTTTTGTAAATTAAGAGAAGAATTTCAAAGTGATGTTGAACTGCCTTTCAGCTCCAAAAATAGCCTGAATTGCTAACTGTATCATATGATTTACAATATGTAATATTTTATACAAATATTTTTACCTTTTAATGTTGCTTTTTTAAGGACCTTCATAGCATATAGTGTACCAGCATCGGGACCTATTATCTTTCTGACTAGGAACACCTGAAAATTTAATACTTTATTAAATATCACACACAACGAATATTGAGTTTCTTTTAAACATTGATTATCAGAGAGTGTTAAATTTATCATAACAGTAACAATATATAATGGAGTTATTTTCCCTAAAATTATAAGTCAATTTACCATTGGTAACTAATAAAGAATTTGATAAACTAAGCAAATATTTTATCAACACTTTCAGATAAAAAAGGCCAATAAGAACATAACGGCAATAGCTTACAATTTTTATTTTCGAGACTATCGTGTGTAATTAGTTTTAACATACAACTTTCAACAAAAATAATAAATAAATAAAATATTAGTTAATATTTAGGAAATGTTATATCAAACAAAAATTTCAAACAAATAGAAACATATACAGTTACTACAACTAGGCACATGAAGATGGGAGAGTAATGGAAGGGAGCAAGGGAATTGAAGTTAATTAATTGTTGAGATGATTGGTCAATGCTGTAGGTGGCCCTTTGTCAAGGTCAAGTGATGATTAGGGACATTTACTGATAATGGACAGATACTGATAACAGGATAACAGATAACTGATATTTGGATTACAGAAAATAATTGATTACAATGGACAATAACTGATGATTTTGACATCTATTAATAGCTGAATGCCAATGACAAGCCCACAACAAGGAAGTGATGGTCAGTGGATAGATCCAAGTCTTATCAGTGAGCAATAAAGTGAATCAACAATGAGATTAGATGAGACAATGATTTTGTATCCACTGCTTGAACACTTTGCAGTATGACTCTAAGAAAAAAACCCAATGAAAAACTTTTGTTCAAAACTTATAAGATTTTCATAAAGTACTCGTATTTGACCAAATTCAAATTTTGACAAAACTCAATCAAAAAGTTAGCATTGATTGAAGTGTCACCAATAAAAAGACAATATAATGAAATACAATAAAGATAACCATTAAAATAAATTAATTTTTTATGTAATTGTGACACATTAAAAATGATACATGCTATACTTTTTTAATACGGTACATAACCTTGTTTCATCTCTTTTAAGGTCTGAATTGGAGTAGAATGGCCTACTAAAGTTCGGCCGCTTAGAAAACGACCTGCGCGCTAATGCTAAACCAATGCTGGAGGAGGTCGTTTTCTAAGCGGCCGACCTATAGTGTCTGCTCTCTATTACTTCCTCAACATAATATGTACAAATGCAATAACATTGTTCTAGCAAAGTCTGTTGACGCAAAACAGTTTACCTTGCCGAAGGAGCCTTGCCCGAGCACTTTCAGTAGCTCAAACTGGCCAGGATCAGCTCTTGGATGACCCTCCTTCACCACATCCTTCAGTTCTATCTCAGTCTCACTGTTGTCTCCTTCACTGTCGCCCGGCGTCGTGGCCGCCGGCCTCTCCTTCATCTTGCCTTCCTGCTGTTGTGCCACAATCTCTTCATGGTGGTTCTGCAAACAGAATGGATAGTCAGCATTTTATGTTTTGGAATTCAATTTGAAAATCCTCAGTGGAGCTGATGATATGAGGGCTAATTCTCAGGTAAGCAAACGGTATCAGCAATCTGACAAATACTTTCTACCTTTGCTAGACATATATTTGAAAGCCTACTACTTTTATAAGAAAACAAATTAAAATTATTAGCCTATAATGAGTCACTAGAACCTATGGGGGTCACTAACAATAAGAGCCTAAAACCAACATACTGGATTTAGTGAAAATCAGAACACAGAACTAGTCTATAGCTGTAAATTTTAATGACATTTGGTGGGTCTTAAATTATAGAAAACTTTAACATTTCTAAGAATAACTGCATATTATCTTTACAAAACAATGTATTTATATGAACGGTCTAATTTTAAATAAGAACTAATTGTCTGCCCTTTTTACAAATGCATCTTGCAGACCCTTTCACCTAATGAATGTATTTATACACAGATAATTTGCTCAATATCAGTTGAAAAAGAAGGCGATATCAATAAAATAGCTTATTTCCTATAGGGAAATTCGCTAAAACATACAAAAATGCTTCCATCAATAGCTTTAACTAGCTTCCATAGAGCTTTGACGTATACTCTGGTGAGAGGTATTTCTTCTTTAACTATTGCATGAAGGGTAAATCTGGGTAGAAAATAGGGTCCCCGAAGACAAATTCTTTACTTGCAAAATCGAACATAAATTCCAATAAACCAATGCAGTATATACTACAGTATTCATAACCACTTATCTTACAAAAGACTCAACACAACATAGTTAACACAATAGCCTACTAAACAAGAACACACGTTTGATATGAATCTGTGGTGAATTTTGTCAAGTATCCTGAAGGCACAGCAGGGTGGTGAGCAGCAAGCCATGGTTGATATTTCATAACTTCACTCGCATGGTTGATATTTCATAACTTCACTCGTCACTGATCACTAAGCACTGAACACTGAACACTGATTACCGATGACTGACTGTGTGTCCGTGTGACTAGGCCAGCAGACGTCACAGTTCTGCTATCACACTGATAATGTATCAGTTCAGGGTCCCACACAAAACACACACTTCCAGGTGTAAGGTGACATACGTCACACGACACACATACACTCAGCTGATAAAACAAGTTGTGCCATTCCAATGTATCATGCAAATTTTGACTGCGATTACATATACATTTGGGACGTTGCAATCCATCAGCATGTTACCGATGTGTTCTTGTGTTAATGAAATGTAAAAAATGTTTTTTAATACTTTCAAAACATATATTTGCATTGATACTATTCACTAAACACGGTAAATATACACAAGATGGTGGGTAGTAAACGAATTCATAAGATCCAAGTAAAAAATTGTATTTTCCAGAATATTATTGTTTTTTTTTTTTTTTTTTTTTTTTATTACACAGTAAACATCTAACAAAATGTTGTATATCATATACATGTAGGCTATATAATGCAATATATTCTACCATCGTAATGTTTATCACAGTAATATCTGTAATGTAGTCTAGTCCATCATGGAATATCGGCTAAGGCTATTCTGAATACACAATGGTATTTCTTATATTCTATACCGTCCAACTTTTTAAAACTGTACAATGATTAATCAAGCTCTGAAATGATTAAATGTATTAGTTATTGAAATACCTAACCTGGACAATACGTAGCATTGTGTATTTGTTGTTCATAAAGATACATAATCATTTATTAACAATTCCAATCATCATATGAGGGTAGTAAACAATTCTCCTAATAATACGAAAATTTTAACCAGGTTTTAAAATTGGTTATTCAACTACCTACTTAAACATCAACACCTAACAATAACACAACAATGTTATAACAAAATGTTACACTATGGATGGTCTGAGAAGCAATAAGTACTGTATCTTGAAAATGTAAACCGAATGACATGTTCAGTCAAATTACAAAATAAACATAGTGAACACACACAATATTGCAGAGAGCAACCAACAATGCAACATTCCAGAGCAAGGCTGCATTCTCACTAAATTGCCTGCCTTTCCTGATAACATCTTTCTGCAGTGCTGTACACCCTGAGGTTCACATAATTATCTCACAAAACTACATCCAATTACTCAATAACAACTGAACCTTCTCTATGGATAAATTGGAAATCTGAAGAATGGAAAATAGAAACTAACAATTGTTCATTTAAGTCTTATTCAGATACACAGCCACCATTTTGTTTTAAAACTATGTTTTGTTTAATTCAATAAGCTACTGCATGGATACAATTTATTTCTTCTTTGAGATAAATGTTGTTAAACAAAGTAAGTGAAAATAGATTAAGTTTTCCTTTTTTTCCCAAACGCAATAAGTGAAAATATTTACTTTCAAAAGCTCTAACTTAACACTTTGGACGTCCTTGCCTTAGATCTTTAAGGATCTAAATAGGCTTAAGTTGGCATAAGTTATTATCTACCTCCTCGCGTAAAATTTCAGCCCGGTTGTTTTATCAGTTTATAAATACTCATGAAGTTTTATAATGTCCCATAGTTATAATGCAATGTCACATAAACCCCCTGAACATGATCAAATATTTTCTTAAAAAAATTTAAGCGTTAAATGTTTATTACCTGTCTTATAGCACTCTTAATAAACTAATGTTTGATTTTTCGAAATCAACCGACATCAAAATAGACCATCCGTTAGCCTTTAACTTCAATGAAAAATTACAAAACTGTAATCCATTCATTTCACACATGAATGAAAGAAATAAGGCATACAACGAGGAACTTTCCAACCACAATGTTGAAACAGGTAAAACCATAATTTCCGCAATCAACTCGAATGTGATCTAATTAAAACAGAATCAAATATGATCTCTGCTTGTCGACCTGGTATTACTGGTATTGCATTGGTCCAGTGAGTGTAGGGCTTGGAACCTTAATACCTTCATACTCTCATCCAATACTCATCACACCATAACCAACTTGTGCCATACTACGTTTATATTGTAAATAACTACATTAACATTTCATCAATATACATCCAAACAATTAACTCGAATCAACAATTTTTATAAAAAACATTGAACATGGCAATTTGCAATTCTATTAGCTTATTGTAATTTTTTAAATTAATTCAATTATATTTACAAAATTAATTACTCAAAGTCAATGAGTGAATGAGTTGTATAGTTGTAGGCTATACAACATTGCATAGATTTATTAGTTTACATAATATACAAACTAAGAGAGGCCATTTTTATAGAAATGTTGTTATAATTGTAAATAAGACTTATACATTTCTAAAACCTTAACTGGACTCTAATAAAATATAGGCAATTTACAAAAAAAATATGTTTGCACTCTTGTTTTCATAAAAGGTCATTTAAAAACAAAAAAGACCTAGCTATAATTTCTTTTTCAATTCCAATAACACAAAAAAGATATAACTTTTACTTCAAACGAAGTTGAAGTTAAAAAGTTTAATTAAATTTGATATTTGATCATGTTTGTATTCCAAGGGAGGGTCGAAGCCAATAACCATCGAGCCAACCATTCCAATAACTGTTAGAAAACTACTTTTCCAATATTGCATGTCCGACAAGGTATATCAACGCCTGTTGGTTATATTGAATTACTCATATCCATCTAGTATACTTTTAAATAGCAAATATTCAAATGTAAATTCTTATTCTAAATAGTTAAACAATCTAAATTTTCTAATGCAAATTAAGTATAAAATGTGGAAGAGTCCAAGGGAAAAACGGAATAACCCCGCAAAAGTAAATATTTCAGGAGAGCCAGAAGGTTTTTCAGGATCTAATTGTCAGCCCGTTGCTTCAAAAATTGAACAGGGGTTGCCCGTTCTTGCCTACGCTCATTGTGGGTTGTCCCGTTTTTCCCCTGGATGTGTTTATTTCAAAGGTGATTTACTCGTAAGGAGCCCGTTTTTGTCAATTTTCAATTTGGCAAACTATATGGATTTAAAAGATTTATTCAAAACAGTTCATAGCTAAATTTTGTATTTTTTGAGGGTTAGCCCGTTTTTTCTTGGACTCTTCGTTTGTAAACATGCTAAGTGAAAATTATGAATTTGTAAGCGAAAAGAAACCCAGGATTTAAGAAATGAATTAAATTGTACTAATTGGAGAAAAAAAAAACCATAACCATAAACATAGTGATATTAGTTTGTATTATCATTGACACAGTAAAGAAAGGTTCAGCCTGTTTACATCATAGAGGCTATTACCAGTGAAAACAAACAAGCGGGCGTGATTGAAGACACAAATGACACATGGAAGTGTAGGAGGAATTGTAAACAACTCCAGAAATACACTACATGTGGATGCACCATAGCGACCGTTTCATTACTGATGCTTAAACTTATTGAACACGTGTGTTTCAATTGGGTAATTTAAAATTGATTTATTTGTGAACATATGTAATTCTAGGATTTTAACTTTGATTTAATGTACTGTATATACGTGAATAGTAGAAATAAAAAATACGATGTTTTTTTAGATCGACTAGGATTATGACATAACACAACCAATTTGTGGTCATTGGCCCTAAACCACAAAGACAGCAAAACCCACAACATATTAGGATTAAGTAAGACTATTCAATAAGAAAGGTCAATAAAGTCTAAAATATATAAAATTACCGTCTACATAAAGACAATTTTTACAAACTGTCTGTTAAAGCATACATGGCATTTTATAGTCGTTAAAATGTCCATAACAATGAGTGTTACATGTAAATGTTTTTAAGTAAATAAACTGTCATTTTTCTTACAAACTCACCAATGTCAAAATTAAAGTAATACATCGTTCAGTACTTAGTTACACATCTGTACACAACTTGATGTTCACAATTTCCTGAAAAGCCTTGCATACAATTAAATGGTATCCTAAATAAGAGAAACACCTCCTAAAGGGAATTTGATTTTTCAAATTACTTTATCTAAGTTATTCATGATCTACTCAATCACTCAAT